GTATACAAATGATCTATGTACAGGTGAAGTTTAGGCCTCTTACTCACCCTCACTTCCCCTGGTTTAGGATCAGGTACCCTTATTAGTGTTGTGTGCCTCCCCACCTCCCCTGGAAGTATTCGGCTTCTCCCAATCCCTCTCTTGTAGTATTGTGATAAATGTTCAGGACCCACTTATTAGTGAGAACATGTGGTATTCAGTTCTTTGTGATAGATCACTGAGTATGATAGACTCTAAGTTCATCCAAGTTGCTTTGAAGTCCATAATTTTGTCCTTTATGGCCACATAATATTCAGTGCGGTATATGTACCACATTTTTTAATCCAGTCCACTTTCAATGGGCAGCACAGTTGGTTCCATGTTTTTGCTATTGTGAAGAGTACTGCAATAAACTTGTGTGTGCAGGTATCTTTTTTGTAAAATGATTTGGGTTCCTCTGAGTATATTCCCAGAATGGGGATTGTTGGGTCATATGGGAGGTCAGTTTCTATACTGTATTTGCCACTGGTGCTTTGCAGGAGACAAGCACCATCAAACGTTTTCTGGAAGGAAACTAAAAATTAAAAAGAGAAAGGAGAAAAGAGAAGGAAGAAAGGGAAGGGAGAGAAGAGAACCAGTGTGGTACCAGGTTATTGCTGGTAGGTCAAGCTGGAGGCTGTGTTAAGGGTAAAATAGAGAGTGAAACACCGGGTCTGGGAAGCCAACAGAGGCCATTACAAGTTAATCATCCAGCAAAGGAGACAGGCTATGTTCTCAATTATGAATCTTGAAGACAGAACACATCAACAGCCTTAAGGAAAAAGAAGCAGAGTTTTACTAAGGCTAAGTAACTCACCAAAGGTCACACAACCAGTAAATAAGAAAGCTGGCACTCAAATCATTTTAATTCATAGAAAATTCTTTTAAAAATCTATTATACACGTTCAATCAAGAGATAGAAACCACGGGATATTTTAAACAAGGAAAGTTTAATATGAAGAATTAGTAAGCTATGATAGAAGAGTAGCTGCAAAAATGCAAAGAGAACTCTAGGAATAATGGCATATAACAAAGGAAGGACAAATTTGGAAGGACATGGCCATCCCCAAAGCTGGGTTCAAACCTTGTTGGAGAGGGTATGGTGGCAGCCCACCAGGTGGCTAAGAAGTTTGCTATTTAACCCAGGCCAGCATAGGACGACAGTCACCCAGCTGGCATGGAACAGCCATCCAGGGAACTGAGAGAGCTGAGGCTGGTGGGTGAGGCACAGGAAATCAGGGATCCTGCAGGTGTGAAACCTGGAGCACCCAATGTCTGTGTGAGGAGAGCTGCCACAAGATGATTGCTGGGTCCAGGACAAGGCTGCCAGGCCATTGAAGGACGACACCCTCTGGGTGCACAACTGGGCCAGAGCATTCCTGAACCAACTGTGTAGCCACAAACAGCAGGAGCACAACACTGCACCCTAGATTCAGAAAGAGGAGCCCCGGCCTTCTGCCATGTCCTTCCAGTGCCTTCTACTGGCTAATTAACAATTGCTTTGTGAAGGAGAAATGCACCCAGGATAGCAGAGCAGGCTCTAAAGATGAGCTGAGATGTTAAGAATTTGGTCATTCTTCCTGCAACACTAGCCTTGCTCAACTTCTCTTCTATACTTTAGTCTTCTGTAAAATGAAGGAGCTAGACAAGATTGAAAGTTAACAGGGCCAGGCACGGTGGCTCACGCCTATAGTCCCAGCACTTTGGGAGGCCAAGGTGAGAGGATTGCCTGAGCCCATGGGTTTCAGACCAGCCTGGGCAACTTGGTGAGACCGCTTCTCCACAATAAATAAAAAAATTAGTCAGGCACGGTGGCGCATGCCTGTAGTTCCAGCTAATTGGAAGGCTAAGGCAGAAGGATTACCTGAGCGAGCCCAGCAGGTTGAGGCAGTGGTAGCCCAGAGTGTGCCACAGCACTCCAGCCTGGGCAACAGAGTGAGTCTCCAATTTAAAAAAAAAAGAATGAAATGTAGAGTTGATCATACTCAGTGATCTATCACAGAAGCAAAGAACAGAGTACCATATGTTCTTACTCATAAGCAGACCTTGAACAATTCTAATACTATGAGAAAGGGATTGGTAGTAGTAGGAGACTGTCAGGGGAGGGAGGGGCACACCTCATCAACAAGGGTACCTACATAATTAATGTTTGTATATCTAACCCTGAATTGTACCCTATATCTTTAATTAAAAGAAGAATGAAATGTAAATGTTGGCCGGGCTCGGTGGCTCAGCCTGTAATCCCAGCACTTTGGGAGGTCGAGGTGAGTGGATTGCCTGAGCCCAAGGGTTCGAGACCCGCCTGGGCAACTTGGCGAGCCCTC